TCGCCGGGTCAGCTAAAGATTAATAAATTAGAAATTAACGGAGACGAAGTGGCGGGCTAAAACTAGTTATTATTAAAAACAATAAAATTCTTAATACAATGAATTAAAAACATTTGTAGGTCGTGATATGAACGTCTATATACATATATTAAAATTTAAATTAATTGTTCAGGAAAAATGTGAGAATTATTTGAATACTAGCGGTGAGTTACGTACAGTGTTTTGTATTTAATATAATGATGAGAAAGACAGTAAAAATGTTAAACGTTATCTTACTTTAGCTGATGAATGCATTGCCCTTGAACCAGTTCAAATGTCGATAAACATGCCCTCAATACTTTTATATACTTTTGCTATACAAACAGTATTTTCTTAAAACATAGCAATACATAGATGATCATCATTAAAACTTCATTGTAAAATCTATTATGTATATGTAAAAGAAAGTTGTGTTAGTTACACTATTTATAACTCAAGAACGGCTGTACCGATGTAGTAGAAAATTTTTGGGGAGATAGCTTAGAACCAGGGACAGACATAGGATATTTAATACTGTTCGATCGAAACAACAAATCCAATATCTGCTTATTTAATCCCTCTCAGGCAGAATAGAGTTCGCCTGATCAGCTATACATATATTACTAAAGCCGAAATTAACGCGGAAAAAAATCCCTGACAAAAACTATTATATATATAATATAAAAAAATTATACGCATGTTCATTATCAACAAGTAAATAGTGTTTAGTTAAGTGAGTCTTAAAGTCACCACACGATAAATGTTAAGTAAAAGATCTTACTATATCAGATAGCAGTGTGTGCGAGTTTACGTCGAGATAACGATTTGTTTTTACAGGCCACGTAATAGTTAGGCTTTTTCCGCATTGGTTTTTATAGCGCGCAATTTTAACTCCAAATTAAACTGTTTATATTTCGGAGGTCATTCGATAGGACAAGCCAAATATTTAAACGATTATTATCCGTGTGGGGTTATGTGGATCAAGTTTCCTTGTATATAAAATTTACCAATGAAACTGTAATATCATGAAACAAGGTCTATCACAAGGTGATACAGATCTAACGGATAAGGTATAAAGACTCCTCTGTGTTACTGAAACTATAATATTGTCTACCATCTTCACGCTTCTCTGCTTCTACTTACGAACGATTCACTTATAGTCCTATCAATGGTACAGCTAATTTGATAACCGAATATATGTCGTATTAGAAACACAAAAATGCCGATAGGGGGCGGGCCGAGCGGCCGTTGCACCTGGCCATCGCGCCGACGCATTCCTCACGCACTCCTTTTTATACTACGCTACAAGTCGACTCGGCCACTGTAATCTGACCCCGGGCCCCCCTCCTCCATTCTAATACAAACAGACTAGAAAAGTTGACAGCGTAACTCGTCCACGGCTCGATATCAACTAGCCGCATCTTAGGACGGAACGCATCTATTCTTTCTTTTTTTAATTTTCATTTCTTTGTTGCCCGCGAGCTCCGTAATAAAACCTTTTTTTGAGTCTCACAGACCGTCGCACGAGACCGGGAGAGTCAATATTTACACAGAGTGAATCCTGGCCCGCGTGATAGATTTACGACGTCTTTTAGGTGGAGCACGCGATAAGTTATGGGATTAGTTTGAATTAATTCATTAAGCTGTACGGAAGAGACGAGGTTGGAACGGAATGATACGATGTATAAATATTGAAGAGCCACATCCTCCTATGGAAGTTCAGATCGGATTCCGTTCATTTCAACCATTCATAGCCACATTAATTGTACATTAAACGAGACGCGGGGTCGTCAGGGAGTAACGAGTGCTAATAATAACCAGTTACATTGAATTTTAGTCGCCCAAGGTGAAAAGTGTGTCAAAGTACTAAATGTGTTTGCGTTCTGCGCTTACGCATTAACCGCAAAACAGTGGTCCGGCGCCACGCCGGAACAAAACGTCTTAAACCTGTTCCGTCAAAGTTGAATTTACTTAAACAAAATATTTGTGACCCACAAACGTGACGCGAAAGCGGGAAACTAGCGAGTTATCACTAACACACGACAAACTAAAAATATATATAATTACATACGAAATTCAATAGGAGAAAATCGGTAGGTTCAACTGATCGTAGAGGTTCAGATATTTATTAAGGTCCAACGGAAACGGTCGGAAAATAACCAAAATATTTGGCAAAAAACTCTGCCACAAAAAAGATAAATCAAATTACCTAATCAATCATCATTACGTATCCATAGATCATAATAATTCCGTATATGGACCGAGTCTGCTTCCTTCGTCAGAGTATTTGTCAACATTTGACGTTTCCGTATCATTATGGACGTCATTGAAGTGCCAGTTAATGTGAGCTCTAACTCCATTTCCACTATATTGAAATGGAAATCTATTTAAGCTGGACGCCTGGCTTTTCTTACCTATATGATCTACCAAATCGAGAGGTTTTAAGTCCTAAGTTACGTCCCATATGTGGTGGATATAATAATCTATAGCTCCTTATGAGTATTTTTGCAAATCATTTATGGTACATTTAGTGGGTACATTGACAAATAGGAATGTTTTACAATGACAGGCCCTAAAGTTACAATACAATTTTTTCTTTCCATTGTCAAGGTTGATAATCTTAGTATGGTGTAATATTGTTATGTATAGTAAGGGTTGTACGTCGTACGTTACATGTATATTGTATCGTTTCAGTGTGAGTGTGTTTAAACAGGTGCGGCGTGTACGTAGCTACGTTGTTTTAAACATATTCTTATCAGTTCACGGTACTTTTGTGATAACGCGTCACTATCATTTGATAGTATCGATTTATTAAATCATTTATAGTTCCTAGAAGCTATCTCTGATGTCGTATAAATGCTATCGTCTTAATGTGTATAGAGTCTTATTTAAGTATGTAAAAAGCGTAGAAAATCGTTTTTTCTAGACTGGCTATTACTACAGAATATTAAAATTTATACAGATAAAGATTGTTCATATGCGACATATATCGTTCTTGTCAAAATTTCTGTACAACTTTTATTATCTATAAAACCTGCACAGGTCATAAAGATTACCTACTTGTTTGTTATCAAGGATTACTGAGAAATTGCTTTCTTATTCTCTTCACTTCAATATACTATACCTACAACAGAATTACTTTTCACTACCTAGGAAGCGTTCCCAGTCCTTTGTACATAGATATTTATGTAAATACGTAGATATATGTACATATGTATAGTATCAACGTAAATGAAAGAAAAACTGGTGTCGATATACTAAGCATATAAAAGTATTTTAATATTTTTTTCGAGAAAAACTTAAAAAAGAAAAAATATATTAACGAAATATTTACTTACTTAATACAGAAATTTATATTTCAATTTTAATTTATTTTAATATACTTAGAATGGCAGTTTGTTTCTAGACAAATTGTATAAATGGAAAATATGTATTATACCTAATATGTAGTTTAAAATGGTATTTGTTGCGAGACTAATCGAATTGTTACGTGTACTATTATTACTAAATCTTTATATGAACTGAGATAAAAACTGATTTATAATAACAAATATAAACAAAAATTACGTTACAGCTAATATTATTATAATTTTCGTAATAATATATGTAATATATTTTATCAAATTGTTGCTTAATTACTCTTATTTAATGTCGATGTATGTCGGGACTTAATAAATCTTAGCTTATTGATCTCATACTTTGACCCTTAACTTATACTGTAAAGAAATATAATATTAATTATAGCAGGTTTTCTATAAAAAAAGAAAACTGCCAAAATTTTGTTTATAACCATCAATAATTCACATTACAAGCATTACAACACAATGCAAATAAAAATAATAGAAAAAATTTACGAATTCAGCACTCATGTTGTAACCATACAATTTTACATAACCTACGTCCAAATAGAGTCGAAGTCGTTTTTAAATCATAGTGCAAAATATCTACGATATTTATTAAACATCTTATAAACTATAAATAATTTTTTTATTATACATATAAAATATAGCATATTTTATTAAGCTTTTCATTTACATTTTCGTTAAAAACAATGACATAATGTATTTGACAAGGCGGGTTAATTTTTTTATTTTTTATCTGTGATGGATGTATTTTTATGATTATTTTTTTCATATCTTCACACTAAAAGTAATATTACTTCTTTTCGATTATAAATTATTTTAACATAAAATATTTTAGTTATTTTACCATACACATTAGTACTTGTGCATTAATTAGGATACGAAATGAAAATATGTCTTTTTCAGTTGCATTCATACAAAACGTGATATACCTATATTATCTATTTCATTAAATTACAATATATTCGTATGATAACGTTAAAAACATTCGTCAACTTATAATATCAGATTAATTTGTTACGATTATATATCAATATTTACTTAGGTATATACCTAATAGGGACTTTGACAAATACTTCATAATTTTTCCTTTTAATTATGTCCATTACATAAATTTGTTTCTTTTAATTGTTGAAGACTATAACAGTAACATTAATTTCAGTTTAATTAACATATGAGGAACAAATCATAATCAAAACGAGTTTATTTATAACCTCAATAATATAAATATCAATATTCTGATTCCATAACACATTAATGTAAACTGTAACATAAAAAAAACCTCTGTTAAATTTAATTCCATTTAAAAAATGCGGGTAAACATTAAAAAATGCTTGTATAAAGTTTCGAAGACAGACAGATCTTTGGATAAAAAACATGCTTTTATTTTCATTCAACCCGCGAGCGCCTTCTGATTGAAATTTATTATTAAGTATAATCAAACAGGAACTGAGTTATTTCATTGAAATGCCGACGTTGTTCTAAGTTTTTTAACGACAACCGTTAGATCAACACCTTCAACACCACAGATATTAAGCATCACGCACACACATATTGTAAACATCTACACGCGAATAAGGCTGTAAAGACGATTACACGGAACAATTTGGACAAACTTACCCGATTAGATTCCAATGCCTCGGCACTGTGCTCCTCCTTCTGTCGGAAGCAATTGGTGCACTTGCTCTTATTAAAGATATTTGGTGCAAATTTCCTGCAATCCGAACGACCAGACATGGTTGTCAGAGGTCAGGGTTATTTCAACGTTCACTATGTCACCGTGCACAGCATCGTGGTACTGTAAGACACCCACACTTGACGACTATTCGCCTTATTTTTTATAATACACGAAGTTTATCACGCGCACACCGACCGGTGAATGAGCTATCAGCAAAATCACTGCAAGTGAAGTGAACGCAAGCGTCATAGAAAAAACACAAACACAACACAATCTCCCCCGGTATACGAACACCGAAGAAGTCGTACAATCGCGTAAACAAAATTCGTAGTCACGTCAAAATAAACATCGATTTTATGACGAACACGCAGAATAAGCGAGCGCGCAACGACTCGACCACCCGTCCATTTTACATCTGATAGAAAACCAAGCCCGGCCAGCGAAGACTTGTTGTTTTACAAAATACAAATTCTCTTTTCTTGTATACGTTCGGAAGCCTTCCATGTAGTGGTGTGATCTTTGCATGTAGCAAGTATAGCTATCTCTTTTTTATGTGACATGAAATTATATCTCCCATCTCTCTCAGTCCTTTCATTTATTCGATATTTGAAGTAGTGACATCTGTTGTCATCATTTAATAACGCCAATAGAAGTGGCATGAAACCTCGTTTACAATAAATTTGCTACATGGTCGGTCGTCTAGATGTCCTTATTTTAAATAACAAGTATTTTACTCAACATTATTAATAGAAGTTGTGGACCTGGCTCTGATGAATTATCATTTATGAAAAGATTTTTATCAATTTGCCTTTGCCCGGTTTTTCATTCCGTATTTTTTGACAGTAGAGTATGGAGAGAACTGAGAAACGAGAAAGAGACAGGTGTAAGAATCGCTAGCGACATCTATATTTTGAGTCACATTACTTTATTTAAAATTCTACTGTTTTGACATTTCCAAGGAGAACTAATATGATTTCGGTGTCTTACAGTCAATGTTGTACAGGTACATATTTATTTAAAATTCATCCAGTTACTTTTATTTAAAAGAAAAAATCCATATGCATCCATCGATCGACTTTATTATTAATAAAGTTACAATATTGGTAATTAAAAATATAGTTTGAAATATTTTCTTATAATAAAAATAGGCCGTATATCAGCAGAAAATAGAATTTTGCCAATATGGATAATAAGCTTGTTATATTTATGAGTAACTAGCTTTTGCCGGCGACTTCGTCCGCGTGGAATAGTGATTTCCGGCAGATTTTTGGTTCTTCCCACATAGTTCTCTTTCTTGCGGGATTTTCGGAATGATCGAGTTCCCGCAGAATTTTCAGGATAAAACCTATGTTTTTTTTTTCCGAGTTCGAAACGATATCTGTTTAGTTTTTAAAGTAAATTTAATTATTTTAAAGAACTTCTTCATATACCATATTTTTTGTTTTATTATCTTGTGGCAGAAGAACATATTGATTTTCGCCACAACCCGATTTTGAGAACGATCAGCACTCGATTCCCGTTGCCGGTTCGCCAAAGTTCGGAAATTTTGTGAGGCTTAACACTGCGAACGTTCTCTCCCGCCGCGCCGACCAGTGCTGAGAGCGAGTTGGTTTTGTTTCGGAGTTATTCATCATTGTAATCTTTAAAGTTTTTTGTTGAAATTAAGTTATGTTAAAGACAATTTTATTCACAATGAAGTACTCTTAACTAAGAACATATTTATTTGTTTATATTTGAACAAAGATTAAAAATTATTATGTTTATACAACTTAAACAAATTATTTCGACCAAATTAGGTACCATAAAAACGGTTTTTGTGAATTAATCTTAAAAGATAGACATATACTGTCGCGGAATGTTTTTTAGATCATTAAAAGAGCTATTATTCTTTAAAACATATTTTTTGTGTATCTTTAACCGTTTTCACGGCGCACGCAAAAGAAGGCTTCAAAGATGAAATAATTTCTCCCGTTTTTTATACATTTACCACTATATCTTTGCTCGTATTGGTTGTAGCGTAATGTTATATAGCCTACAGCCTTCCTCGGTAACTGGACTATCCAACACAAAAAGAATTATTCAATTCGAACCAGTAGTTTCGGAGATTAGCGCTTTCAAACAAACAAACAAACAAACAAACTCTTCAGCTTTATAATGTAATATATAAAATTCTCGTGTCACAGTTTTCGTGCCCATACTCCTCCGAAACAACCTGACCGATTTTGATGAAATTTTTTGTGCTTATTCGGTAGCTATGAGAATCGGCCAACATCTATTTTTCATCCCCCTAAATGTTAGGGGTAGTCCACCCCTAAATTTTTTTTTTTTATTTTTTAGACAAAATTTTTAATTACTATTTTTTTATGATACAACGTACAAAAATACATACAATCCTAAATTTTCACCCTTCTACGATCAACCCTTATTTTTTAATAGCTATTTTAGTAATTTAATCATTTTTCATCTCCGGTCGATAACTGATCAATCGTCATTTAATAAGTTATCCCCGCCAGATATCTACAGGTGTCACTTCTGACCCAGTAAACAGCACGGAGTAGGGATGAGAACGAAGCCGGTCTTCTGTTTCTCTCACACAATTAGACTTCTCTCACTCCCTACACAGTTGTCGGCCATCGTTATTGTTTGTGCATCAAGTGTAGTAGTAACGTTGACAATTATTATTTTGCTAGCTCAGTGTAACTCTCATATTAACTATTAATCATTCCTAATCACTTCAAAACACGGAGATTTATGGCTTTAATAGGTAAACTCCAAAAATATAAATAAAAAAACGTAACAGATATTTCTTGATTATAGGGCGAAACGAAGTTCGCCGGGTCTTCTAGTATTAGTATAGATATACCTATTGAAAGTTTTAATTCCGTATTTTTATCTAAAAATATTACAAGTGGAACTCGTATCTTAATTATATTACGGAATAAATTTCGGTTTTCATTTAAAAGATAATTATTGCATATACACACATGGATAGCTGAAATGAAAAAAATCAGTTAGCATGGACCATTGTTTTCAAAACATAATTTTTTAATAGACCGATCAACTGTTTCCCGAAATATTTCTACTAATGTAGGCCTCTTTAATTTCTTTGAGGATCTCTTCAACCAGTAATCCTGAGTTTCCCTTATTTAATTAAATATACCGTATTCTAGTTGTTACAAACTACATAATATGAAAAAGATAATTAAGTAGTTTTTGTTCCTTAAAGACTTAATACCTATACATAAATATACAGGGTGACTGGTGAATTACTATCGATACTTGAGGACGTGATATTTGACGATCATATATGACAAAATAAATATTAATATAACATAAATATTAATAAACTTCTAAGTAAAGTTAACCAAAAGTTATGTAATTAATTACGCATCGTGTGAGCACCCTACAGATTAGGTATACACACACACTCACACATACGCAGCGGGGGCGTGGCTTTGTATCAGCACGCCGCCGTACGCGTCCACACTTGGAACACTTGGAACGTGTCAACACTTTATTTATTTATACGGAAATTTTGTCAAAAATTAAGTGCCTATTTTTTTTACATAATTCGAATGAGAATCATGTAAATCACGAGTATTCTCCTTAAATATTGATAGTAATTCACCAGTCACCCCGTATAATTATTGTGGGCTACATATAACTATGAATATTGTTTACTAAGTAACACGTATACTTCAGGGAAAATTATTACATAAGGTAAAATAAGTTCATCGCTATATTTTCCCATGACTCAAATAATCATAACAACATTGCAGTAACGTGACTTTAATTTTCCCTTTCGTTTATTTTCAAGTCATAATGATGTTGCATAATATAAAATATAAATTACAATTTAGAAACCTATTGTCGTCCGGGAATGGATTTTTTTTATAGGAAGTATATATTTACGAATTTTAATACAAACTTTAAAATTGAGGGTCTGAAAGAAATTATGTTCGAAGAGCCTTAAAACTTACTAACTTCCTATACACGATAAACCAAATCGTCACAAGTTCTTTTTACGTTACATATCTTTTTTTTTCATTATAGGTAATGGGCTTACTGTGTATATGCATTAAAATTTTATTAAACAATAAAAATGCGGGTTAATTGTAATTTAATGATTAGGTAATTTAATCTAGTAATCATACTCCAAAAACTCTTTACAGCATTTTGGAAAAGAGCAGATTATTTTACACTATAGGACCAATTTAAGCTAAAAATTGGTAAGAAGTTCATATTAAAAACCGCATTCAAATCGGTCTACACCTACCGTTTGGGATCTGCGATGCCAAATACAAAAACACCCATTTAAAATCTACTTCAAACTTATAACACCCCTCCTTTTGAATTGGGTTTTAAACACAGATTCCTATTTTTTTAAATATATCTTTCACCTGATATTCGACTTACTTTACAAAATACATATACTATCATCATAATATAAGTACTTTCTGATGGAACTGTTTTTGGGGTTACATATTTGAAATTACTGAAATAATGCGAATAAATTTAGCTTATTTCATAGACTTTCAAATTCGAAGCAAGAAAATTTAATATTTCATTATATTTTGCAACTATTTATTAAATTAACGTTTATAAAACCAACAATTTTGTACATGTAATTCTTTAATCTGTTTCTTTGACATTTTGTGAGTGACAGCGGCGAGTGGACAGCCGCAGCCGTGAGCCGACGGTGCTATCAAGTGACATAAGTCAGTCGACAGTCGACGGTTATTTCAATGAACGCTAGTTGCTCAGCGCGTACTTATAAAAAATAAATTCAAATCAGAAACATCAGGAAAAATATCTTACTATTAAAACGATCTTCACTTAATAAAATTTCAGTCTTAGTGTTTACTTCACAGGAGTCAGAAGATCTAGATTAAGTGCTATAAAATTGTGCTCCTATTTAGAATCAAGGTGAGGATTAATGTGCTTAGATGTGTGATTTATGTTAAAGTTTTGCTATTTAAATTTATTTTCGTCATTTTATCTGGGATAGCTGTTTAATTTAATTGATTATTTTGTTATAAAACTTAATAATTATTTTTCAGAGGAAGGATGGAAGATCTTAGTTTCGTCCCGGATCTCCCGAAGGGGCCCCTAGACGTGTATAGAAATACCGCCTCCTTTAACTGGAAGCGACTTAAATTGGCCCTTGAAGGCGATATTGATTCACTAAAATTAAAGGTGAGCGAACTTAATTTAATGAAATATCACTGGCTATTTGAAAACTAAAGCTGCACTTCAAAAAAAACTTTTTATATTTTGTGGTATTAACAAATAACAACTTCATATTCAAATAAAAAATATTATTTTTTTCTTTAAATGTGATGTAAGTGCATTTTAAATTGGTGAAAAATTTAAAATGTAATGTAAAAAAATGCATATTTCATCATATTTCCATTGTAATAATTTTTACGTTACTTAATTTAAGCAATTATAAGTAAATTTAATATTATTTGTCTAAAGAACATAAAAAAAATAGTCATAATTTAAAAACAAAAAATTAAACAAGACTGTTCTGAAAAATTGTAATACATTTTTATACATAAGAACTTTTTATATATTATGCAATTGTTACTATAAAAAAAGTCTGAGAAAATTATAAAAATATTTTAAAAAATAAAACAGGAATGCTAATATGATATTCAAATCTGCCAGTTGACCTTGTGTTCAACATTTGTAGTAACACATTTTTATCATATTAAATAATCAAATAACTATATATAATTATGACTGAATTAAACTATTAAATAATTTTCTTCAACAATAGTACAAGATATGGCGTACATTGGAGAAGGATCCCCTGTTTGCACATTCCCCGGTATCATTACCCGTTGAAGAACAGAAGAGAATCACTCAGCTTCAGTTAAAGAAGATCAATGAATACAAGTTCATACCCAAAGAAATGTTCAACGCTAGCTACAGTAAACGGGTAACTATATAATAATTAATAATAATCGTGTATGTATATTAAAACTACATGTAACTATAAATTTCAGATCAAATCTAGACCGGTCTAATATATAAATTCTAAGATATTCTTGATTTATGGATATAATATATTGGTGTTAAATTCTTTGATACTTTGATGACTATATAAATGTTTTATATAAGCCATAAAAATTTATAAGTGGAACATGAAGTTAATTAGAATATTATTTATTTTCTGAAATTTATCATCTACAATTACAATCAAAATTTTTCTTATAAAAATAAGTGATAAGCAACATACATAATACATTCAGCCAAAATGAGAAAAACCTCTCTGTTAAGAAAATTATTTGAAAATAGAACATTTTATATCTGTTCTTTAGGACTCTGTGTTATATATGGACGCCAACTAAGACAGGTTTCATACTAGACTTCACTATGCAATTTCTAACATACTTTCCATTGCTTCTATTCTCATTCCCATGTTTTTTTTTAATTCGAATACAGAGTATAAAATTAAAATATAGATTAAATAAACTTTGTATAACATAAAAATTAATAAACAAATTTATAACGATGCCATTATATATTTTATGATTTCTAATTAAAAATTAATCTTGAAGATCACATATACGCTATAAATTTATTTTATGTTTTAGGAGTTTCCCATGAGTGTTATAAAAATGTAATAAAAATAAAATTTAAGTGTTTGTTTTCAATTTCAATTTAATAGATTTTCACTAAATATTAATTTACTAGCTATTACCGTTCGTTTCGCGGCCCATAAAATACGAAAATTAAATATGTTCATTGTTAAATTTACCAACGATATCGTTATAAGAGATGAGTTATGATAGAATGGGCTCATAGATAATATCTATACATACAGAAAATTTGGATCATGTAGCTATATTTTAAAAATAGGAATTGTTGACGTATGGTCAAACATCCTTTATAGGTCAAATTTCGTAAAATCTATTCTTATTCAATCTCTAAGCTAGACATCTTAAAGAAGAAGAATAAATATCTTATTATTTAATACTGTATTTACTTCTTGAGTATTAACTTGTTATGTATTCTATATATCTGTATTCTTCTTTCAGACTCGAACCATAATGACTATAAACGAGGCGGTCCAATCTCTAAACCCGAGCGTCTCCGTGAAGATGGCCATCGGTATATATTTGTTCTCCAACGCGCTGCTCTCACTAGGCACGGAGAGACATCTGAAGTTCTACGAAGCAACTATTAAAACGCGAGAGGTGAGATTATAGTCTTAAAGGACTTAGATTACTTTAAATGTATAAGAAATAAATTTATTAACAAATATATCTATATAGATAATAATTTTGTAGTCACTAATATATTGAGGAAATTTTATTATTATTATATATGTCTGTAATTGGGTTGTATCGTGATAGAAGTAAACACAGGAAAACCTGGTTGTAAATGAAAAAATATACTTAAAAGGAAAACCACATGTAGACTGGGAATTTGTTTTCATCACATACTCGTGTGTTACAAATAGTTAAATTTTTCGTACATAACAAAATCTATATTTAAATTGTTGTATTAGAATATGTCTAAGCTCAGTTTCACCAATTAAATAAAATGGGACGTAAATATTTTAACAGGCAATTATATTTTTGAAGGTTCGTTAGTAAATGCCTCGTTTAGATTTAACAAACAGAACTTTTGAAACTGGTTCCTAATCTCGTAACTCACAAGCAGAATTGAGAAATTATGATTTGTATGTATATTTCAATTACATACTTCTGTGATAAACACTTTTAATGTGTGTTTAATTTTCTCAAACTAATTTTTAATATGAACGCCGTTAATATGATATATATATGAGTTTATCTATATATCTTTTATATATACAAGAAGTCGTGTTAGTTCCACTATTTATAACTCAAGAACAGTTGTATGAATTTTGCTGAAAATTGGTGAGGAGATAGCTCAGAACCAGGAGACAGACAGGATACTTAACTCTGTTCGATCGAAACAAAAAATACCGTAATAAACTCCAATATCGGGTTATTTATGTCCCCTAGAGCTCAATAGAGTTCGTCTGGTGAGCTATACATATATTTCTATTTCTGAAACTAACGCAGACAAAGTCGTGGGCAAAAACTAATACAGTTATATGTATATTACGTGTAGATCCTAGCAAGTTTTGCTCTAACCGAAGTTGCCCACGGGTCGGACGCCCGTCTAATGCGGACCACAGCGACCTACGACCCTTCCACCAAGGAATTCGTGATCCACACACCGGACTTCGAAGCAGCCAAATGCTGGGTTGGTAATCTAGGTAAAATAATGTGTGATTTTTTTTTTATTTCATGCTTCATTATTAACTCGGTATTTTAAATGAAACTAATATTATTCGGATTACTACGAGTATTTTATTATTTTTACTTCATAGTCCCGACGTTTCGGTTACTTTGAAAGAACCGTGATGACGAAGACGAGATGCATGTCAGATAGTCAATAGAAAAATATTAGTTTCATTTAAATGAATACCCGTCAAAGTTTTAGATCTCAGTAACTTGGTAGTTTTTATAAGGTTTTGTATGCTATGTGTAATGTGTATGTTTAACGCATGCGGGAGTGGAATTGTTCATTATAGTGAAATGTGGAAGAGTTTTCCGTTTGATCTGTAAGAAGACTCGTAGCGTGAAGGATTATGTTCGTTCAGTGTCAAAGACGACTAGCAAAAAACATTTTTTAATTCACGACCTTAGACGAATCTATTGTTACTGTAAAGGTTTTTTTTTGCAACTGATTTGTTGGTTAACAAGAACTATCGGTAAATATAATAAGATACAAAAATTAAAGAACTTTACTTTTAATATTACAATTTGAATGCCAAATAATTATTTCATACTTGTCATATACATATACAGGGTGACTGGTGAATTACTATCAATATTTAAGGAGAATACTCGGTACATGATTCTCATTCGAATTATGTAAAAAAAATAGGTACTTAATTTTTGACCAAATTTCCGTATAAATAAATAAAGTGTGGACACGTTCCAAGTGTTCCAAGTGTGGACGCGTGCGGCAGCGTGCTGATACAACACCACGCCGCCGCACGCGTGTGTGCGTGTGTGTGTATACCTAATCTGTAGGGTGGTCACACGATGCGAAATTAATTACATAACTTTTGGTTAACTTTACTTAGAAGTTTATTCATATTTATGTTATATTAATTTTTATTTTGTCATGTATGATCGTCATATATCACGTCCTCGAGCATCGATAGTAATTCACCAGTCACCCTGTATATGTATTAAGTTCCTTATATATGCATGTGCTTAATAGATATTTTATTTTATTACTAGCCAAAATATCCTTTAGTTGAACAAGCCTTAATTTTTTCATTAAAATTATCTCTTCTCGCTGGAACCGTCATAATAAGGCCCGTTACACACTATCGTGGTTCCAGGTAGGACGTGCACACACACGCTGTTATTCGCCCAGCTGATCACACCAGATGGAACCAACCACGGCCTGCACGGTTTCATGGTGCCCATACGGAACCCGGACACGTTGGAGACATACCCCGGACTCATAGTAGGGGACATGGGAGAGAAGATTGGAGTCAATGGTATTGATAACGGGTATGTTACTCAGAGGTTATGAACATTAGGTTCAGTACGAATTATTCGTGGCTATTATAGACATTTTATACGAAATGTTTGTGACTTCTGTCGAGTACGATATAAAAGGTTTAGCTACATTTGAATTTTAGTACCTACTATAAAAGGTTTACGACTCCTGCCTACACATCAACGCACACGTGTCTGTCCAAGTCAGATGAATACGGTTGTAAGTTAACAGAACGTTATCAAGTAATGATTTCACCGTAGTGTAATAAAGTTTATCGAGGCATAGCGTCACTTCACGGTGATGTCCGTCGATCAAATACTTGAACCTTCGTATAGCGGACCCGCTACAGATAAACGTGACCTTGTACATGTCGCGACTTCCAATTACTAAAAAAAACTGATAACCCCATATTTTACTTATTACGTTACTCTTTGTATAAATTGTGAAATGTTATAAAACATTTTCAATAGTGCTAGCCCTTAATATATTTGGCAGACGTGAGAACACTCGTTTTTGTTAGGAACTTCCTTTCGGCGACTTTATATACAATACAATCGCTATGCGGTAATCGTGCCTTGATAACACGGGATTTCGGGGTCAAATTATATCATAAGTTTTATTCTGATGTAAAGTTTTGTATTAGTTTCTGCTTAAAATAGCAACACACATCCTGAAAATCTATTATAGTCTTTATTACACATGCCCATCGATGACAGCTGAGTCGCTGATTACAAGTAATCTTATCAAAACCACTGAAAATTCCTACATTACGAATGAGTGATGTCATACGATAATTATTTCACAGTACGCGCTCCACGTTTCCGGATATCTATTATTCTATAAATATAAAGTGTATCAGAGACATCGAAACCACAGCAGAACTAATTACTGACACACACACACACACACACACACATATGAATAATACTATAGATTTACGAAACAATAAACAACAAGATAGCACATTTTCATCTCACCCCCTCATTAACAAGTTCATTTAAAACTCAACCAAAAAAAATCCCCAAAAATCCAAAACAAAAAATATACATATATAATCTTTTTTGATAATAATTCAATTACTGTAATAATTATTTTCTTTAATTTATTATGTCATTATAGAATGCCACAAATAACACCTGACCTTATAATTATAACAGCTGTTGATAAAGAATTATTAATAATCAACAAGGAATTAGATATGATGGAACAACAGACATATGTACAGCTATATATATAATATTCAGTGATTGCTACATTCATACATTAATTTCAATTATCAATGCTGATAAGAAATCATGTGTTTTGGATCGGATCATTAATCTCATAAATATGACCAAAAAATAAAAGCATTTTAATTAATTTTACACATTTATAAGTTTTTCATATAAAGTTCTTGGTAGTGGACAATTAGAGAATATTTCCTTAAATTTTTATTATTCCTTAAAATAGTATTTTTATTACAACTCAATATTTTTTTTATTTACTCTAGAATACACTTCATAATTCCAGATTCGATGATTGTGCCTTATATATTTTATAGACTTTTTATTGGTCTGGTGTATAATATTATTGTATAGCTATAAAAACTTCCACACAATAGTTTGCATGAAGGGCATTACAAATGTTATATTAAAAATAACTGTTTAAGTGATGTTAGGATTTCATATATTATATTTTCATTATACTCATCTGTAACAGTCAATAAATAATAAAGAACACTAAATTAACTCTTAATAACATTAATTAAATTAAGAAGCAAAGAAAGATGAAGTTAAGTGTATATAAAACCTGGCAAAGAATGTAAGCAAAAAATTTCGTGTTTATACATTATATAAATACTTATATTTATGCAATGTAGGTATGGCATGTTATCTTTGAGAATTATTTTATTGCAATAGAGCTATGCTGTATATTTTGATGTGAATACTACAGATGCATAATTTTTATGACGATTGAAAGTATTTCAAATGTACTTAGGTCACTAAATATATTTTGTGATTTTTTTTTCATATAATCTCCATCAGCATTAAGAAATGTTCTCATACGTTCAAACCATGTACTAACTACTCCGGAAATCATTTGGTACACTATCTCATATCTCTTCAGAATTAAAATGTTCCTATAACATCTTCATTGTTAGAAAACTTGCGTCTTTTTAATTATTTAACAGTGTGAAGATTATAACCCAGTAATTTAACTCAAACATCACGCAAATATTCAATAGTTTTTACGAGCTCAAAATACGAGAGAGCAGCTCTTATCTAAAAATCAAGTTTTGAGTCTTGAGTTCGGTCGCTCGTTTTTTTTTAACATTTTTAAATTTCTAGCAACCGTTTTTTCGTGTACTAAGTTGCAGTAACAGTCTTCTGTTTATCACGCGCGAGGGTACTTACAATTTCGCGTTTTTTAGAAAAATACTGAAACCGTATGTTTTTTAACTGATCGAAACATTTGGACCGATGTTTGACTGTACTTCACCTTGAAACACTTTCAGTTTAGATGAGATTTAGTTGGAAAGTGAAAATAGTTAAGCCAAGTTTCGTCCCATGTAACAATTGAATTGACGTAATTAGATTGACCGCCTTCAGATTTATTTAACATCTTATAACATAATCATGTATTTGTTTGTATGTATGCGTGTATTTGTGAGTGTATGTATGTGTATGTGTTCATGTAAAAATATAATATGTTTGTTCCAGGTTCATAATGTTCAATCAGTACCGTATACCGCGGGAGAACCTGCTGAACAGAACCGCTGACGTCACAGAGGATGGCACCTACGAGAGTTCCTTCTCAGAACCTTCCAGAATACTTGGAGCGGCTCTGGAGAACCTGTCCGCTGGTGAGATATAGGATAAAATTAAATGTCTTTAAATATTAATTGTGCTATATCAATATAAGGTTAATATGACTTTAAAGTTTAATGGAAAAGTTTCGGTAGTATCTTCAAAGACGAACAAACATACATGTAAACATGATATTTTAATATCCAATATAATTTCCATTGTTGTACATCACTGAAACTTGCCTCACGGAAATTTAACAAATCATAACAAGGGTTAGGTTTTGTCCAAAACGATTTTTAAATTAATTCTTTAATAATAAAGTTGTAGAAGTATTCATTTTTATTTTATTTTATTTTTATTTTAGTTTATTGGAGAAAAAAACAGATCACAGGAGTATAATAAAAAATATAAACACAATACAGCATGCTAAAGAAAAGCAATACCTGTGTCCTTAAATATTTCTCGCCAAGAAATATAAATAATTTAAAATGAGAGATGAGAGAGAATTTATCGTAACAATTTTATGCTTCTCTTAGGTCTTTGTTTATCTATTCCAATACTGTGATGGTATTAAAAACATAGTTTTATCTATTATTAAGGATAGTATATGCTGTATTTCAAGGTGTTGTTTGTTCCAGGTCGTATCGGTATTATGCAGGAGAGCTGTCACTCTCTATCCAGCGCCGTGTCTATAGCTGTGAGGTACGCGGCCTCCAGGACACAGTTCGGAGACAGACAGAAAGAAACACCGCTCATCGAGTACGAACTACACGTTAGTTCATATTATATACTAGCTTTTGCCGCGACTTCGTCCGCGTGGAATAGTGACTTCCGGCAGATTTTTGGTTCTTCCCACATAGTTCCCGTTCTTGCGGGGTTTTCGGAATGGTCGAGTTTCCGTAGAATTTTCAGGATAAAACCTATGTTTTTTTTTAAATTCACAATGAAGTACTAATTACGTTTGGTGGCAGCGAAGGGTGCAAGAAAAATCCGTTTTACTTACAAAATATATTCAATTACCAATTAAGACTTAAATTTAACTACTCGCTAGGGCGGGGTCTTTAAGTCAGCGATTGACTTAAGACCCATTCTATAATTAAGTCTTATAACTAACTACATACTAAAAAGGTGTCTGTAAGTCAGCGGTTGACTCCAGACTGAATATATGTAAAAATCCCATTCTTCATTCTCATCGATGGTGCAAGGCGTGTGGTGTCCACTTCACTTTCCCAGTCCCACCGATGGCTCAGAGTCAGCATTCCGTACTTTACACCATTGTTATACCGAAAACTTAATATCGGGTTATGCATACGTAACATACTCTTAAACAACAACATATTTATTTGTTTATTTGAATAAAGATTAATATTATTATGTTGATACAACTTAAACAAATTATTTCGATCAAATTAGGTACCATAAAAACGGTTTTTGTGAGTTAATTTTAAAAGATAGACAGATACTGTCGCGGACTGTTTTTGTTGTTGTTAGATCATTAAAAGAGCTACATATTATTCTTTAATACATATTTTTTGTGTATCTTGAACCGTTTTCACGGCGCACGCAACGGAAGGCTTCAAAGATGAAATAATTTCTCCCGTTTTTTACACATTTACCACTATATCTTTGCTCCTATTGGTCGTAGCGTGATGTTATATATCCCACAGCCTTCCTCGATAACTGGACTATCCAACACAAAAAGAATTGTTCAATTCGAACCAGTAGTTTTTCGGAGATTAGCGCTTTCAAACAAACTAACAAACAAACTTTTCAGCTTTATAATATTAGTATAGATTGATATATTTTGAGGGTAGTCCGATAGTCCAAGTCGAGGTTTTCTAAAGTCATATATTTTTGTGGTAGACTTTTGTTGATGATTATGTTTCATTAGTAGTAATTTAGCTAACTTCTGGTTATTATATAATAAATTTATTAATTATTCCAGCAATGGCGTCTGTTCGGCCACGTGGCGGCTGCGGTCGTGTTCAGACTGTATATAGAGAGCTTCACCAAGACATACCTCGAGATAGCTGAGAAATCTAACGCGGGACACAGGGTCGACAACTTGGTGAGTCATAACCTATATTCTTATGACGTCACGTTGTATAGCTATCTCTTTCATGCCTTACCTACACTATACTTGTTCACTGTTGCTATCCTTTTTCCTCGTTCGTGGCGTTATATGTCACCATCTTTCCCTCCTTATAAACAACTCTATGCGTATATTATTGTGGGAAATATTTCTATCTCTTTTCAACATTGATACCGTGGGATATAATCATCTCGTTTTCACATTACAAATTCAATTCTAAATATGAATTATCTCTATCTCTGTTCCTCAATCACGTTTGTTCTGTTGTCAGAGCGAGACGGTGTCAGAGATCCACGCGATGGTGTCGTGCAGCAAGCCGCTGTTGACGTGGAGCGTGCTGAGGGCCGCGCAGCAGTGTAGGGAGGCGTGCGGCGGACACGGCTACCTTAAGGTGTACAACATATATAAATGAAATTAAGGTTTTCGGATCACAATTACAGATCAAAAATGACACTTTCATCTCGTCTGACCGTGATAATAGTTGCTGCAAAGGAACGGAAACGTTGTAATTACATATATAGATATAAAATAATAAAAATAATGCGTAGTATCCGAAAAAAATTGTATCGTACAGGCGACTATCGTAGATATCATGAATGTGTCAGATACTTGTAATCGCCTTATTTAACTGTTTACTGATATGAAGGGATCACGTAAAAGTGTTCTGCATAGAATATATCGATGGCTCCTATGTATAAAGGCCAATCTGCAAAATGATAATTCTTCAGTATAAGCGTTTTAAGTTTGATTTCAATGTATCTTTTACATGCGACAACTGATGATTTTGAAGCTTTGCATAGCAACTATGACAAGCTTGTATCTCATTTAAGTTTGATAAACTTTTTGTAAACCTACTAGTTCTACAGGGTGACTGGTGAATTACTATCAATACTTGAAGACGTGATAGTTGAAGATCATATATGACAAAATAAAAATTAATATAACATAAACATTAATAAACGTCTAAGTAAAGTTAACCAAAAGTTATGTAATTAATTACGCATCGTGTGAACACCCTACAGATTAGGTATACACACACACACACACACACGCGTGCGGCCACGTAGTGTTGTATCAGCACGCCGCCGCACGCGTCCACACTTGGAACACTTGGAACGTGTCCACACTTTATTTATTTATACGGAAATTTGGTCAAAAATTAAGTGCCTATTTTTTTTACATAATTCGAATGAGAATCATGTAACGAGTATTCTCCTTAAATATTGATAGTAATTCACCAGTCACCCTGTATATATACACATTATATAAGCCCTATAAGTGTGTTACTTATGTCCTTTTGCTGCAATAAAAATCAAGTCTTTTTACCCAGATACACGTTTTTTTTAAATGGATGTTGTAGAATACAGTATTATGGAGTGTTTATAGCAAAAGAATGATAATGATTAAATTGCTACATTGGCCCTTATACATAGGAGCCATCGAAATAATGGTCAATATCAATCTTTCTAAAAACTAAGCAAAATTATTGTCACGTTTCCAGTGTTCGAACCTGGGCGACATTCGCAGCAACCACGAGCCGACAGTGACGTACGAGGGAGACAACAACGTGCTGTCGCAGCAGGCGGGCAACTGGCTGCTGAGACAGTACGAGGCGGCGCGGGGAGGGGGGGTCCCCGACACGCCGCTGGGGACGCTCGCCTTCCTCACGGACGGGGAGGGGATGAACAGAACCTTCAGCTGCACCAGCACCGACCAGCTCAAGAACCCCGACTGTGGGTAGCACTGTATCTTTATATATATAAAAATTTCGTGTCACGTGTTTGTCCGCGATGGACTCCTAAACTACTAAACCGATTTTTAATTTGATTTTGCATGCCGTGTGCATTTTGATCCAACTTGAAAGATAGGATAGCTTACATCTCAATTTCTAGTCACAATCTTATTTTATTGCAAATTATTTGTCTATTAAAGAAAATTATTTGTCATTATTACAATTATCTGTTCACTGAGTTAAGTAAGTATTCAATAGATGGCGCTATGTTAAAAATAGAAACGGCATATATGAGCGATTATTTAATACATAATAGCATAACCACCACGTGTTTCTGAGGCGAAGGTATAACCTAAATTTATAAAACGAAACAGATATTTCTTGATTATAGGGCAATACGAAGTTCGCCGGGTCATCTAGTATATTATATATATGATTTGAAATATTATCTAACCTTTATACTTTTTGATTCTTAACTTTTCTTCACTAGTGTAGTTCACAAAGTATTTGTCGCTGTCAGATGATGTTCTCTACTCTTTTCACTATATTTTACGGGAATGAATTAATATTCTTGCAATAAAACAATCTGTGTGAACAACTATTTTTTTTTGGCTGTTTATAGAGCAAAATATTTTGAAACATTTTCTTCATAGTGGAAGTAGTAGTAGTAGTAGTTTATATGGTATTATTGTTACAGTCATACTATCGACATACAAGTGGCTGTTGACCTGGATGTTGAAGTACACGCATGAGAAGAACGAGTCTGAACTAGCAAAGGGTCTGACGAAGGTGCAGGCGAGGAACAGGTCGCAGGTGTATCGCTGGAGGACGCTCACTAAAGTGTACGCGGAGTACCTCACGCTCATGATATCTGTAGAGAGCATACAGCGAAAGGAACCGGGGCTGAGGCCGGTGTTGATGAAATTATACTGTCTGTATGGACTCAGTGTGTTGGATGAGAACTTAGTGGAGCTGTATCAGGGAGGGTTCGCTCGCGGCGGGGACTGCGCGCGGCTTGTAAGGGACGCTGTGCTGGAGTTATGCGCGGAGCTCAAGGGAGAGATGGTGAGCGTGGTGGACGCACTCGCGCCTACTGACTTTGTGCTCAACTCTGTATTGGGCAGCAGCGACGGAAAGGTAAATTTACATTATGAGGTCGTAAATTTTCGCTAGTTTTCTTTCTTTATTTATATACTCTTTAATGCACACCAATATAGAAAAAAAATAATAGGAGTAAAAGAAGTTTTATTAATTTAAATGAAACTTATATTTTTCGGATTATACTATGCGACTTTATTTTTGTAAAAAAAAATACATACTGCCGACGTTTCAGCTACTTTTCGGCAATCGTGATCGAGGTAATAAAGTCACGTAGTATAATACAAAATATATTAGTTAAATTTAAACGGTACTTTTATATGACATTCAATATAAATTAAGTATCACAGTGAGTCATACGAGTTTCTATATCTGTGTATGGTGTGTATATATATGATTACATTATAATCTTCGTGATAGTGTTGGTTGTTATCCGATTAATGATTTGTCATCGTTATTCTATTATATTTATCTTTGTTATCTGATTTCACTCTAAATATTACACGAGCCGTATTCCTCGTTTCCTCTCTCTCTCTTTTGAAGCTTCTCTTCTCTGTCTTATTTGGTCTGATTCGTCATTTTCCTGTATATTTACATTATAGTTTCGTTTCATACCCACAGCTTGTCTAACAAGTTAGTCTTATATCACTTAATAACACCTTAATTATGAACTTCAACATTCTTTATTTCAATAATAAATTTGACTTAACAGAAGTTTAAAAACTGAAAACAAATAACTTTCATTATTTATTGGAAGTCTCTATTCCTCTGTCAGTGCTTTTTTTATATATAATTCTAAACGCTCTCAATATATTCCAGTTGTACCAGAACCTCCAGAAGTCGTTCTTCAGTCAGCCTGGCGTGTTCGAGCGCGCCCCCTGGTGGCGTGAGGTGGTCCCCTCCTCCAAACTATAATCCGTTAAGTCGTCGACGTCACTCGATCAGTTTGATCGAAAATAAATACTGGACTTTTAAACTACGTTCGTAGGATATTTTTTATATTTTTATACACCGAAGATTTATATTTTTAGTGACAGTCTTTTTCGATTATACGATAGGCGTTGTACTTTAATGATGAACTCATTATAACTTCACGAAACATAAAAAAAAAACATTATAATAATCACATTAAACTAAATGGTTCAAAATATTTATATGACGTTAAATTTGGTGCGTGTTCTTCATATATGTATGTTGTTTCTGAACGCATCAATGGATCACTAATTCCATAATATTTTGAAAAATCTCTATGGCGGAGTAGAAAAGAAATATATGCCGATAAAAAATTTATTTACACAAATATAAATGTATTATTTATGTAGATCGATTTTAGACAAATGAATTTAAAAATATTAGCATTTATAACAGATGGTATAGTCTGTGTGTTGTATTGGTGGCCGTGAATCGAATATGTTACCAATCGAAGTATTAATAACGTGAATAATTAAGTGTTCTTACATTGTACTATAAGATTTTATGGATGTTGTAGTATGTATAGGAACGTGACGGTGTATCCATGTTAATGATTATTAAATTTTCTTATCACGACATTTCGTGTAATTTTAAATGATTATTACAGTTTTCAACTGTCGTTTTTAACGTGTCCTCACTATGGTTATAAGTACCGTGACTCACTATCACTCACTAAAACTAATCAATGGATTGCTCGAGTGCTGATATTTATGTAATTTTAATTATATTTTTTTTCATTAAGCTTAATTGTTTTTGATCATTGCCCGTCTGGGCTGTGGTAGACCGCTAGTTGTATACGACTAATGATTAACATCAGTCACATGCGCACGCGCAGGTCGCACCGAAAACATTAGTTTTTGTTAAGTAGGTAATTTTTTCCATTAAATTTTAACTATTCTTCATTCCTTTTTAAAGTTTTAAATCAATGCAAGCGTTTATTACTTTTATGTGCGCAACTTCCTTTTTTTATTTATATTTTTGAGTAGCACAAAAATATTTATTTTTAGAAATGATAATAATTTTTGTAGGCTGTTATTAGTTAATAATGAAAAATATAAATATTTAAAATATTGTTACAAATACACTTCTAACATCCCAGAGATAATTTTAGATAGTTATACCTTTATATCTATATACTTAATGTAATTTAGCGATTTTTCATAATCATGTGCGGCCAAATATAAGTTTTTTTATTATTTTGGTTTATCATCAATAATTTTAAAAAAGATTCTCTATCTGATTCCATTTTTTATATATTTTAGTCTCAGTTTAGGATGTGAATAGAGCATTTAATTTTAAATATTTAATATTTCCTTATTGTGACAAAAAGATACTAAAATTGTCTTTAAAATTATAATTGTTGTAATAAATATAATTTTGAATGAATATATTATAAACTTTAATTCCTTAATTAATTTGGGAAACAAATTGTCCCTAGCTGTTGGATTTTTATTTTAAACATAATTTGTGTTGTTATAATGTAAATATCATAATAATTCTTGTCATAATGTATCAATTTAAATGTTATTCGAGTATTTTGTATTGTTCCGGTCGCTGTGTCGACTCGTGCATATCTTTGAGATTATCATTCGAAGAATGAAATTATTTACAAATGTTTCACAAAATATAAATATTCATTTTAACATAATTATATAATGTATGAATTTGAATTCGTTCCGTGAGTTTCACTCCTAAGTGCCTTCCTCTCGTGTTGTATGTAAGTTGTTAGAGGAGGCGTGTCTTCGTTATTGAAATAAATGTCTTGTATGTAAAATCGAGCCTTTTATTTACATTAAATACAAGTCTCCCATTTCAGTCAGGGTTTCCAAGAAACTATCAAGTGGAACCAAAATGAACAAAATAAAAAACTTTCATAGTTTTTAATGTGTCTTTATTATTGTTGTATGTCATTTTACGTAACAAAGGATTGGTGTTATACGGTTTTTGTGATTACAGAGTATTAAATGTTTCATGATATCAAATGTCGCACGGCGTTTATACTCTAAATAAAAAAATATTGTAAGGAAATATTAATATACTAAAGTCTTCAATCAAGTCTTATTTCCATAAAGACACATGGATAAATAACAAGATAATTATTTTTATATTTTTTATTATCATTAAGGTGCCTTACAAACATTTTGTGCTTCACAAGTAGGTCATAGTGCTACTAAGACTATAAGAGGAAAAGTTTTGAGAACCGCAAGTATATATTAATGATAGAAGTTTGTAAGGAAGTGTTAAAATTTTACTACATAACATTAAAATTGTAGTGGAATATGCTTTGATGGATTAATTTAAGACTATTTGTGTACAAAAAATCTACCACAAGGTATTATAAAGACAATTTATGTGAAATAAGCATATATTTAACTTGACATCTGATAATCTTTATGTTTAAAAACGTAGAAATCATGTTTGAAAATATCAGGCTTTTGAGCACCACGGATTATTATGAACAGATCATTTATAAATGTCAATGTGTTAAAGCTTTCATGTAGGCTTGTCAGCAATTTCGTGTCATTTGAAAATTATGTATATAATATAAAAATGTAGCTTGTATGTTAACTCCGTTATTATACATAGTATATAATGTATATAAGTACATATTTGAGCTGTCGGTGGATCGCTATGGCATTGTCATCATTAAATTCTTTATTCCCGTCTCATAACAAACCCTGTTAATTTTACTCACCAATTTTTATTTCACTCACAAAATAAAATACACAACCATTTTCATCAATATCGTTAGACTTTAAGGACTTCGAGAAGAGATAGATTTCAGTGTAGTAATACAAGGTTGATGTGACCTTCCTAGCTGTGGTCGCTGTCCGTGAGGGCGGAGCTGGTCATTCTGATGACGGGAGTCTGTGTTGAGTCGCTCGAGTCACATTCCACCAACAGAATATCATCAGGACTATCGTTCCTATCTGAGTTACTCTCCGTGTATGTGCCGGTGGGTGACTTGTCTTCTATGACCGCCTTCAGGTATGACTCGCGGTCCTTCATAGACGCGTCTCTGGCCAGAGCCAGTACATCCAGCGACATCATGCTCTTAGATTTATCCGTCTTAGTGATCGGCGGGTTCATGTCGTATACAACCTCCCTGCTGATTGATTTCGGCCGTGAGAGGTTTGTATCGTTGTTCCAGGTATCGCTGGGTGGCTGGTTGTACTTCCCGGTGTTGGTGCTGGTGGAGGGCGCGCTGGCGTTCCTCGGCGAGCTGGCCGTGAACTTGGACCTCTTCTGTTGGTTGGACTCCTTCATCATGAGCAGCTGGTCCAGCTTGTTGATGGTCTCGTTCAGTTCTTGCGCCCACGCCTCGTCTGTTTCCACGTCGTTTCTGTCGATAGGTTTCAGCGCCAGTTCCCGGACCCTCATCCTCAGTTCCTGTAAGCTGGATTCGTCGTTGTCACTTCCCTCCACCTGTGTCTCGTCGTGTACAGGATCCCGTTCCGCCCCCACCCCCGGCTCCCTCGGTCCCACTGGAATGCCATCTTTCCCTGGTAGATATTCCCCTCTCTGTCTGTGTATCTCTTCAGATATTTCCTCGAGAATTTTCAGAGATTTCGAGTATCTAAACTTAGCGTCCGCTATGAGCCGCTGTAACTTTTCAATCTTCTCGTTCTGAGCTTGTAGTTGTTCATCGCATAGTTTCTTCTCTTCGAAGTAAACTTTTGACTTTATGATGTTACGTTTCAGACTCTCTTCGAGTTGTGTGACCTGCAGGCGAAACGGTTATAATTAAATATATTTTAAGGACAAAACCTATTCTACATCGAAAACTTTACATAATATTTTTCTTTGATTATGGTCTCATATAACCTGAGTCTACTAACCTTTCTCTCAGCCGCTATATAAAGAGCCGCTTTCTTCTGGTGTTCTCTCCCACTCTCCGCTTTACGTTTTTCAGCATCCATGACCTGTCAAGGGGAAATTAAAAATATCATTATTGCATTGTAAATTTTACATTATAGCCATGTATAAACGATCAATCTTCTTGGTGTACCTTAATGATGGCATGGTTGAGCACTTCCTGCCAGTTGTTATCAAACTGCCACTCGTCCTGTTTGCTCACGAACCTCTGTTCAGCCAGAGTCACCGTCTCCTTGGCGGCGGCGTGGAGTTCTGAAGATAATCACATGATATAAAATTCTTCAAACTGACATTGTATCTTTAAATAGATGTATGTAATAATAAAGGTAATGTCACTTATATATATGTCTATATTTAGTTTTTTTTTTTTTGTAGTGAGTAGAATATTCCTAGTTTAATCCATTTAATTAAATGAATCTGACTCCCGTGTCTATATAGTCGTAAGTGCTTTACATAACATATCTCGTTATTTGGATAGTTCTGTTAATGAGTAAAGTGAGGTCGTTCGTATCTTATCAGGGCGTGTGTTTGTCTGGTGTGTGTGGTGTAGGAGTTAACGACCAGATATATATCTATGACAGAGGTTGTTTAAATCATATATATGTAATACTAGCTGCGCCCAGTAGTGTTACCCGCGGATTTCCGGAATGCAAAGTAGCCTATGTGTTATTCCTGGACGTCAGCTTCCTGTATACAAAATTTTATTAAAATCGGTTCAGCCGTTTGAGCGTGAAGAAGTAACAAGCATACACACACACTCACAAACTATTGCAATTATAATATTAGTAGGATTTAAAAACTAGACTATCAACATTTATCAATTGCTAATGTGAAAATGATTTTATAAGTTGCACAAAAAATATGGCACAAAAGTTACGTAACATATCTTTATGATTATAAGATTTTATTTTTATTTCAAAATAATTAATTTATGAATATTGTATAGCATAAAAATTCTAACATTATATTGCAGGAAACAATATTATCAGCCAGTGTTAATGTACTTTTGATAACAACGATTTGCTAAAAATAATCAAGCACAGTGTACACAGAGCATGAAATTCATTTATTCATATGATTAAACTCAAAATACAATCTCATTCAGTGGAAACAGCTTTATTTGGTACATAATTTACAATCGTTAAAGGAATCTATTTTTGAACACAAACTTTATAGTTACTACAAGTTTGCATCGTCATACTACACACAAAGTCCAGTTTATTCATAAGTCTTGCTAGACGATAGGTTTAATAGTAGAAAACTAGGCATTCTTCGTATATACTCTGACTTTTTAGAACATATTGGTAAGTATACTGGTAATAAGTGTATTGTATGTATTCATACATTGCCTGTAACTTTCATTACACGCATTAAGAACATCAGTTGAAAAATTAACATACACTGTTTAATTGGATGATAATTCCGATATGTGGATGTATTCATATATGTTTTTATTCTGCTGGAAATATGATTGATTTGTTATCACACAACTAGCTGGATGAATCCGGGAGTCATTAATAGATAGTTGTTTTTTATTAAATGTAAATCAATAAAAATTTATTCTAATTGCTAAGTAAAAGTGGCTTAAACTACTACTTATTGAATCACTTTTCTGCGGATGAAAGTCTAACCAGTATAAATTCAGCCGTTTCAGAGATTGTCCAGAACAAATAAAAGAACATAGTGAATATAGTTTTTTTGGTACGACTATATCCATACGTATTTAGTAAAAAGCGATATGTTAACATTATACATACACACATACATTTTATAAAATAGCGTAGATATTGAATTTTAATATACAAAATGTAATTATAGTTAAGACGTTTTCGACACGGAGGGTAGTCTTGAATGTAAAGCTGCTCTAATAGGTTTATTTCCTCAACGTTACAGACGGGAACACCTTTTAAGGCTTTGAACTTGTGGACATATGGCGTTAGATTACAAAGAGGGTTAGACACGTATTGTTTTTTTCTATATTAAAAGACTGAAGTATTTTATGCGGCTTTTGCAAACAGCAAGCTTTTATAATAAATACTATCGATAGAATAACCGTTGTTATAAATCTACTGTATTTCATATCAAAGGGTCCTTGGCCATAACCGGCCTTGAGATTGAACGAGAGTTCCCTACAGGAAGACTGCAATTTTCTATACAACGACCGCGTCGACTACACACATTGTATCAACACGGTACATACATACATACATACAGTGTATTGTAACAAAGATATTTCCGCGTTCATAACATATGCTACGAGCTTACTTTGTATTGTACTTCATATAGTGGTTTAAAGTGAATTTAAAGGTTAAAAATATATGTATCTAATTCTTACTAGGTTCATATTGATTTCTTATTTATTAAAACGAAATCTGGATTTTAATATAAAATATTTCAGTGAATGAATCGTCCTGTTTACATCATTACACATAAGGTTAGATTAGTAGTAAAGATATTGTTATTTGATTAATATTATAGCTGCAACCGGGATACAAAATTTAAACCATATATTATGACGTCGCTTGAAAGAGTAACTAAATCCAAGGTAATTTAACGCCTTAATAATTAATTCTCGAGTAACTCACCGCTAGCCCTCTGATACTGTACGGCAGCTCGCTGACATTCACTTCTTGCGCTGGCTGATGCTGCGACAGCGTCGTGATACGGACGTGACTTATCAACGCATGTGCCCAATCGTTTTGTCAGAGCCTGTAGCCGGCGCGATGTCTCGTTCAGCAGCAGGTGGAAGGTTTTCATTGACTCCTGATCAGTGAATAAATATCTATATTATTATTTATTAGTATAAGTTTTGAATATCTAATTACATATGAAAATTTACGCCTTTTTCATTTATATATCTTCAAACAAAATAGTACCAACGTAAGTTTATGAATAAGAAACCCTACATGTGAAGTCTGTGAAACAACTTGCGTTAAATGTTGTGGCAACGTTCAACGATTTCGATAATGTTTAATAGACATGTTCGGTCGTCCGATAATAAAAAGGGGTTGCATGTATGTTAAAATTCGCTTGTAACTTGATGGCATTAAGTTTGAAAAGTATGGCATTGATTTTCGGAGATTGGCTGAAGTGTTCAGAGATTAACATGCTCTACCATGGCCACTTTTTTCACCTGCATATTATACCTTGATGGATACTACTCGACAATCGTTCTGTCATTTATCATATCGTTATGAAGCAGCAGAAATAGAATTGAAGAGAAGACTGAGTCTAGAGAACCCTTGTGTAGACCAGTAGACCACGGTCTTAATATTGTATAACTACAAAACTTGCCGATAAAGATGTATCATATTGAATTGACTACTTAATAGTTTCAGATCATTTAGATTTTAGATCCTTATCGATACCTAATTAATAAGTACTAGCATTTTGATACAATAAAATCATAAACAAATTTACAAAAAGAATAAAATCTATTCGTATATGTCATAAATTTAGATCAGATCTCAACCCGTATATTACATCACTAGTACTAAATAGATTAATGTAGATTGCAAGCAATACGTCCAATGACGGAGTTGGATCTAATTGACCCGCGCCGCGCTGCGCCTGCGCACCGAGCGCTACACAAACACTCACAGTATTACGAGGCCGTCCTTGATGATTTAACTCAGCAGTGTGAACTATGAGCAATGACACAATTCATTACAATCTATACCTCGTCACTTTTAATTCCGAAGGCAGATGATGATACATAGTCCTCAGATAAATTTTGGTTTCACTCAAATACTGTTTTTCCAATCTAATTATTAACTAAAGAAGGTAATTTAATTGTTTAAATACATTTTTGTATATTTTGTTTTCAATAGATAACTATGAAATTTATAGTATGAATTCTCAATAACCTACATTCCAATCAAATGGATGTTTCAATCTATTTTCAATGTGTTACCAATATGTTTAAAGAACCCATTTATTTTGACCTGGACTCTGAATGGTCACGGAGCGAACACGTTTTTAGAATCTCGTAAATTTAATTCATCTTGAATTTAACCTTCGTTTCATATTTGATTATAAATACATATATGTTTTGTTTTCTTTATAGACGCAGGTAAAGGACCGAACCAAAACCTTGGTTTAATATAATATAATAATGACAGACGTTTAACCGATAATTAAAATCCAAAAAAAAAACATTCCCAAATTTGAATTTAACGGTTATATGATTAGGTTATAGACAAATGATGACCTACCCTCGCCATAACAAGCCAATAATTGATAAAATATCTATATTTTCTGTTATCCACTATACATATTCTACTATACCAATTCCAAACAAAACAGACCGAGGGATATTTATTTACGCACACACAACATAACACGACTGTGAGCACACACGTGACGTTCGCTCGTAAACCTGTTATTATCCTTACAATTAGTTAGTTTGTCTCGTTTACCTAAATACTGACAGTTTGTACGTAGTATTTCGTCCACAATTGACATAGATTAATGTGTGAAAAAACGTCAAACTTTACGTGTCTCGTTTGATGTCGTAGTAAGGATGCAGAACTGGTCTGAATGGTATCATGTTCATAGTTACTAGACTACAATGTAACAGTTTTACTGCTAAGATTATTCTGTATATCGCTTTACTAGCTTTCCGCCCGCAGCTTCGCCCGCATGGAGTTCGGTTATATCGCGTTTTCAAGTGAAAATTTCAAAATTCTGGGATAAAAACTATCCTATGTTCTTTCTCAAGGTCAACTCTATGTCTATAAAAAATTTAATTAAAATCAGTTCAGTGGTTTAGGCGTAAATGCGTAACAGACAGACAGAGTTACCTTCGCATTTATAATATTAGTAGGGATAAGATAAACAAAGAATATGTAAAAATAGCGTGTATAAATATTGAATGATAATTAACATTTAAAACACATCATGAATATTTCGCGAGTTGTTTACAGTTTCTGTACCTGGCCGAGCCACGCCCAATGCGGCTAATTACGTCACAACTGTGCCCATTCGTGGCGTTATACAATTTTATATCTTTAATTTCTTACAGAACGTATCGGGGTTATTCGGAAAAGGTCACGATCATACCGAACTTATCATCTCACGTGTAATCTCAGAACTGGCAAATAATATCGCATTATTAATTATTAAAAAAAAACAGGTAAATTCGATCTATCGTATAAAAAATATAAACGTATAGTATCAAATGTAAGGACAGAAAAACGATAAGCAACATCTACAAACTTATTTTTAGCATTTATACCAATTCATATTCTAATTAGAACGCGTGGTTTTGTACCTAATAATCCCTACTAATATTATAAATGCGAAAGTAACGCTTTCACGCCTAAACCACTGAAGTGATTTTAATGAAATTTGGCACAGAGATAGAGTTGACCTTGAGAAAGAACATAGGATAGTTTTTATCCCAGACTTTTGAAAGGTTCTCTTGGAAACGCGATATAACCGAACTCCACGCGGGCGAAGCTGCGGGCGGAAAGCTAGTAATAAATATTTGATATAAGGCACGCTCGAGTGACGTCACTGTTGTTAACATTCCAACATCGATTCCTGATTCCAAAGGATCGTACAACTGAATAAATATTCAAGACACGTATACTTGCGTGTAGTTATCTTATAGTGGGTAATTGTTTGATCCTATATCTTAGGAATTGGTAACTTGGTACTCTATACACAAGAGATCATATATGTATACTAGCTGACCCGGCAAACGTTATTTTGCCAAATAAAAAAAAGGATTGGTGATAATAATTTTAAATGCCACATTATAAAAAAAAACAAAAATTTCGTCCGAAAATAAAAAAAAATAAGGTTAAAATACCCTTATGATTTAGGAGTATGAAAAATAGATGTTGGCCGATTCTCAGACCCACTCAATATGCTCACAAAATTTCATCAAAATCGGTCCAGACGTTTCGGAGGAGTTCTCTGTCTAACACCGCGACACAAAAATTTCATATATATGATATATAAGTACATTATGTAGTTATAACAACTGGACTAGTTACACTTGTATCAGAAATCAATATAACCAATGTTATACGTGTGAACTATGAAGGAATGTGCGTCCATACACATACAAGGTGAATTAATGTCGTGTATGATAGAAACATAAAGGTTTATTGATCCATACTGAATATGACGCAAAAATAATCTTTTTGTTGACAAAGTACATATGTAAAGATATGATTATATGTAATTACTTTGTCGTAAAATATAAACTTGATTTTGAAATTTGCTACGTTTTTTTCTATGACAAACTATATACATATGTATATCCCTACTAATATAATAAATACGAAAGTAACTCTGTCTGTCTATCTGTTACGTTTTCACGTCTAAGCCACTGCACTGATTTTAATGAAATATGGTACAGATATAGAGTTGACCTTGAGAAAGAACATAGGATAGTTTTTATCCCAGACTTTTGAAAAGTTCTCTTGGAAACGCGATATAACCGAACTCCACGCGGGCGAAGCTGCGGGCGGAAAGCTAGTAAAAATATATGTATTTTTAAAGAAAATATTTGTAATGGACACGTCTGTCTGTTGAAGATACGCATGGACTTATTTGGGTGAAATCATACGAAAAAGTAGATTTGTAACAAGATTCAATGTATTTCAATATCAAGTAATATGCTAGAAATATAGCGAGAACATACACATATATCAGCAAAGATTTTTTTAATACATTATCTGAATTCAAAAAATGAGGATTTTTTGTGGTGTAATACTTTTAAGGTACATAATTCGAGAACATCGACTTTTATAAATTGATTTTGACCATATAATTAATGCTTATGTAATTTCAAACATATTATGTATTGATGCGATAGGACTAATTAGGATTAATACAATTGCTCTCCATCATCAGAGCTGTTCTAAAATATATCACAAATCAAATATCTTTATATACAAACTACATTTCCGCCCGCGTCCAGTTCGGTTATATCGCGTTTCCAAGAGAACCTTTCAAAAGTCTGGGATAAAAACTATCCTATGTTCTTTCTCAAGGTCAACTCTATCTCTGTACCAAATTTCATTAAAATCAGTTCAGTGGTTTAGACGTGACAGACAGACAGACAGAGTTACTTTCGCATTTATAATATTGGTAGAGATGAATGAATTCTAACATTCTCTATATAATAATTAGGTCATTGTATGGGACATGCAAGCTTTTATATTGTAGTAGAAGACCTGGCGAACTTCATATCGCCCTATAATCAAGAAATATCTATTACGTTTTTTTATTTATATTTTTGGAGTTTACCTGTAAGCCATAAATCTCCGTGTTTTGAAGTGCGACAGAATGATTGACATATTAGTTAGTTGATTGAATGACATATTAGACAAATCTAATGTCAAAAAAACGTTTGTATGGGAAATAGAAAAGGGCTGTTTTTATGGTTTTCCCAGTAATGAATCAATTTTTTTTCAGCTTTTATACCTTCCCTGAACCTCCACGAACATTTCAAGACTAAGATAAGATAAATCCGTTCAGCTGTTCTCGAGTTTTAGCGAGACTAAGGAACAGCAATCCATTTTTATATATATATATATATATCTATATAGAAGATAGAAGATAGAAGATAATAAAATATTTTTCTTGCAATTAAATAGCATAAAGGTCTTTCCGATCAATGTAAGCTACTTGTCCATATTAAGAATTGGAATAAGAGTCTATAAATAAAATTATACGCGAACAGTACCTTACGATACATCATTATCATTCAATGTAAGAAACATATACAGTAGGACCTCGATTATCCGGACTAATTGTTGTCGGTAGGCATCCGGATAATTGAAAGTCCGGATAATTCAATATATGAAGAAAAACGGGCTTTTTGCATATGTACATATGTAGTCTGTACCATACATATGTAATGTTAGGTGTTTATTTAAAACAACAAATACATATGAGCGAGAATCAACGAAAATCACGGACGGCACGAGTGGCGTGGCGTTATGCAAGTTCTGACATGTTAATCTATACTAATATTATAAAGCTGAAGAGTTTGTTTGTTTGTTTGAAAGCGCTAATCTCCGAAACTACTGGTTCGAATTGAATAATTCTTTTTGTGTTGGATAGTCCAGTTATCGAGGAAGGCTGTGGGCTATATAACCTCACGCTACGACCAATAGGAGCAAAGATATAGAGGTAAATGTCTAAAAAACGGGAGAAATTATTTCATCTTTGAAGCCTTCCGTTGCATGCGCCGCGAAAACGGTTCAAGATACACAAAAAATATGTGTTAAAGAATAATAGCTCTTTCAGTGATCTAAAAAACAGCCCGCGACAGTATATGTCTATCTTTTAAGATTAACTCACAAAAACCGTTTTTATGGTACGTAATTTTGTCGAAATAATTTGTTTAAGTTGTATCAACATAATAATATTAATCTTTATTCAAATAAACAAATAAATATGTTGTTGGTTTAGAGTACTTCATTGTGAATAAAAAAAAAAGGTTTTATCCTGAAAATTCTACGGGAACTCGACCATTTCGAAAACCCCGCAAGAACGGGAACTATGTGGGAAGAAGAACCAAAAATCTGCCGGAAGTCACTATTTCACGCGGACGAAGTCGCGGCAAAAGCTATTGTTAGAATAAACTCGTCGCGATTGGCAGTCCGGATAATCGCGAATTCGGATAACCGAGGTCCGGATAATCGGGGTCCTACTGTATATCGATAAACGCTTATTTCATTCATTTAATAACTTTTAAAACTAATAGTACTATTCAATGTAAAAAAAAAACATATATATGTCATGTGTTATTAATAAACCTCGCTCGATATAGTTCATTTAAATTATTAATAAGCGCATGCAAATGTATCACTAGAATTAATATTTAAATTGCTTTATAATTTACATTCACATGCATAGCGTCAATTTCAATGTGACGTAAGACGCAGTTTCATATAACAGTATCTTATAATAAAAAAAACTGTCAGTAAAACCCAATTTATTAAATTTCCTTGATAAAAAAACTTTTTTATTGTTATAGAGGAAATACTGTAAAAACGTGAACTTGAAATCTCTTCAAGTATGTTTGATGAATAGCTAGTACTATAAAAACATGTACGCAATGATAATTTATTAGATTAAATTAAACTCACATCTAGTTCCAGTTCAAGTTTGTTGATCTCGTCTGTGGCAGCGTTCAAATTCTCAAGCTCCACCTGAAAATATAGCAAATTGAGACAGTAGGTACCCACCAGCCATCCGTGACAGACGTGCCGACAACCAGCAACTAGCAACGCGTAGAGACGGGAAACATTCGAGACATCGTTATGGTTACCACATATATGTACTTATATAACAAATTATATATAAATTTATCATTCAATGTACCTTATGGAGATAGTTTCCTGTCCCTACGTCAAGCGCCTAATATGAAAACGATACTTACATAGCACTGTAACGGGTCTTGGAATGATTCCGATGAAAGAAATTCCATATAAAATTCTTAGTTACATTTAATTCCATACAATACATACATTTAGTTATTACAGCGCAAATTTCAGTACAAAAATATTACGCTAGGAGAAATATAATCGAATTATTATTTATTCAAAAGATTGCTTCGAAGATATTACAAAAAATAATAATAATTATCATTGTATATAATTCAAATCCTGGATGTAATGAACGAATAACTTAAAAATATTAAATATTATTATAATAATGGAATGGTTCAGTTGTACTAATGTATTAAACTATTTAATAATATTGAACACTTCACTTTTGGTAAAGGTTTTGTTAACAAAGCAACATAACTGTTAAATTTAGGCCGTGTGCACATAAAACATAATCAAGAACAAATTAGAAAAAGAGAAATGATCAAAATGAGATTACAATCGAGTAATATTATATATGAATATGCACTACATCTAACATTTAAACATTAAAACACAAAAACTAACACTTAGCAACAATCGAAACAAAAAAATATAACCCACCGGTGGTAAGTGCCGAAAACAATACAAAAATATTATGTTATAGTGTTATATAAAAAAAATAAAACGATTTTAAATATTAAGAAATAAACTAAGATAATTCTAATTCAAGGAGATTCAAATAAATTCAATTTAATCAAATTGTATCATATTGAATCATTTGTGAGAACAAAACAATAATTGTTGAATTCGGATTAAAATAATAGAAGCGGGCAAACCATGTTGCAGAGTGATGTGTGAGAATAATAATTAAAAGACCGTAAAAAACTTATAACATGAAGTGTTTAAATAAATGTATATATTAGTTAGTATTGCAGTAATCAGCAATAATATTGATACAAACAAAATTATGGTATTGTATTTTAAATTAAAGCTTTCTATGTTGGTGTTGAATGGCTAGCTCAAAATAATTATAGCATCAAAACTTTTGTGATGACAATACCAGTTTTAAACTGATCCATTTACTTAAAATATCTAGGTATAATCTATGGATTTTATGTATGTTTTAAATAATATCTGTAATATACTATCTGTTAATAGGGAAAAATGGCACATATTCTCTCATATGTTAGTGCGATTGAGGATACATTTACATTGTAAACCGTATGTTTGTTCCATGTTTCAAAACAATATAAAATCAATTAAAATACATCAAATTGACATATCATGAATTCACTGCAGTTTAGTTTGGACAGGAAACAGTCCTATAAGGTACCAGACATATACATGTTAACAATTTACTTTATCCAAAACTATGTCTCACATACAAAATGCATGAGTCATAAGATATAATTGGACCAATTAGTGCACCTCACTATCACAAATATATTTTCCAGAAACAAAGCGACGTTTCACAAGGGAGAGACGGTACCCGCTCCCGACCAACTCAAACTCAATACCGGACAGGGTTGCACCTTCACAGTTGAACTGGGCGGATATTGTTGTTTTTGTAGATGGCCCATTGAGTAATTCGAATCGTGCTCGTAATGAACCGACTCCTCTATCTTCAGAATGCTGAGACAATTCTGTGAATCGCCATAGAGCCTGCTCTATCTCCGCGTTCCATGTATTTTTTGGCATAGCAATGACGTTTTTCACAGATCCATTCATTGGTACAAATACAGAAACGTTAAGCAAGGGTGAGGGGGGACTCATAGCGTGGAGATTGAACTTGTAGTCGACTTTTAGATCTGTGTGATCTTTCTCGCATTTCCAATAGGACACCATTTGCAAAGGACAAGACGCGGCCCCGGCCTTTGGCCTAACCTGATACTTCAATATGTCGACGTTGAAATATTGAGCTGTGGGATTCTTTTCAGATTGTCTTTTCAAAAGAGAAGTTAGCGCGGACATATTGAATTCCACTACAGTAGTGTCACGAGTTGACATCATTGCATTAATGCTTATAAGCTGTTTGTTTGGCAGCACGTTGTCCAGTCGGTGTATGTTTTTAAGTCTAAAGCAAAGCTTTGCCGGATTGGGATTGTTCGCGAGGACACCTACAATTCCAGTAGGAAAAGAAAGCATCATATCTCCCGACATTTTTACTTGACATCGACTTTCCTCTGTTCCACGGAAATAGGAGTGTATGATTTCATGAAATGCGACTGCCAGAGGAATGGTGTCTGCCATGCCTATAGTGAGCGGCGATGGACCACGGGATCCGGAGGAACCAGCCGTACGGAAATCGCCTTCAGATCGTCTAGATGGCGGTCGAGGCAATGATATAGTGGATATGGTGGGAGTAGACGTTCTAAAATTACTTTGTATCATTTCACCAACTTCAGAAAAGAGATCGCCGACATCGGCGGCAGACACGGGAGTTGGACTTTCGAGTACATGGGATTGGTTGCCTTGTAATGGTGCATAGGGATTCGAGACATTACCATGTGGTGAAGCAGGGTTACTAGCGTTAGGGCTCTGAAAGATGTCAATAAGATTGTTTGATTCATTACTAGCTTTGCTTGCATTAATATTTGAACCTCTTCGCGTTGTTCCTATTTTGTATCTTATATTCTCTACTGTGGCTCTCAACTCATCTACGCTGGCTGACATGGGCGCGCTACCATTGCTTATTGGTTTTATTTCAACATGGATTTTTTGTTCTCTTTCTTCTTCTGAATCTGAGTCTGTAGAAGAGTACACACTCCCCTTCTCATCTTTTGGTCTAATACGAAAACCTTCTTCGTCAACTTCCGGCGAATGCATTAAGTCCTCTTTAGTGGGAGCCTCCTCTTCCTTTTCTTCCAAATCTGACTTATCACCTGCGTTCGAATTTTCTGAAATTTCATCTTTTTTCTTTTTAGATTTTTTAAGTTTAGTTTTAGTTCTTCTACTACGTAGGAACCATTTGGATTCACGAAGTGTAGTACGATTCATGTTGTCGTCTTTTTCCGGAGCCACAGGTGTAGCAGGTGTTCCACTTGGGCTGGATGGAGCTGAACACGGCGCGACACCTTCACTACTGACACTGGGCTCATCTTTACTCTGGAAGTTTGGTGTAAACAAATTAAGCAGAGAAGTGGTCCTTCTTGATGTCTTCGTGGCAAATGACGGTTCTTTTTTAGGAGCTTTAGCCGGCTGTACTGGCTTATGTGACCCATTAGAAACTGTAGATATTTGGTCAGCTTCTGATATTGAATTATTGGCTGATCCAGGCTTTGGTAATGACGGGGGTAACTCAACAAGGTTCGCCTTCTCTAAGGCATTGTACTTGTCAACAAGAAATTGTTCTAGGAGTTTTTCTACAGTTAATTCCAGGCACTGGTGCTTAAAATCCCTATGTACTTGCCCCATGAGGTCGTGATTGTTTTGAATGATATCAGCGTATACATTAACAAACTGTTTCATTTGCTTCAAGTGGGCTTCTTCAACATCCTGGAAGTGTTTACAGGTTTGTGTCATTTTCTTCTCAAAATCCTGTTTCACCAGGTTGTATTTTTCAGCCAACTGTCTATAATCCTCGTGTAACTTCTTAATTTTAATTTCAGCCTTCTCAATATCCTTAACGGAGGCATTTTCTTTTCTTAGCTTCTCCAATTCAGTAGACTTTGATGTGTACACATCTTTAGCCTTCTGCAGAGCTTGTTTAGTGTTCTGTATAAGTAATACTACTTCTAGAGTACTAGATTCAGAATCCTTTACAGCCTTATGCTTTTTATGTAGATCATCAGCATATCGGGCAACATCTTTGACAAGTTCACTAACTTTTTGGAACATATGCTGATGAAGATTAGAAAGTTTCTCAGCGGAACACTTCAATACACCCCAGAATGGCGCAAAAGTTCCCTGTGCACAGTTACTGTTAGCCTGTTTAGCAAGTTTGGCGAGAAGTTTCGAATTCGATTCTTCAATATTCGATCTTTCTCTGAGATACTCCGAGAGTTCCTTACTGGCTATAAGTCCGTATTTCATGTTTTGATATAAAATATCGTATCCATTATGCTCGTTGGCGAAATAATCTACAAAGTTGACACTCATCTTTGCGGATAAAAGGCAACAATTAACTCAATACATTATTTTGTCACTCACTGACCTGTATTCTAGGATCGAGTTCAGTGTCACCATTGTCGTCAGCTGGGATAGTAAATGAAGATTCTTCCATTGTGGTACTTATGCCTAGGAAGCCACCAAATCACTCAAATTACATCACCGACACAATAGCGTATTGACTGCGGCGTCACCCTCACTCTCCTATTATATTTTTTCTTTTCACTCATGCATAACTTAATTTTTCTTTTATTTAAAGAATATCTATCATATAAACAAATTATCACTGTTAAGTAAAATTTAAAACTAATCAAATAAAGAATTTTTATAACAAGATGACGTCCACTTTCTTGACGTCAAATCATAATAATAGGTAAAACTTAGGAACCAAGATTTAATTTTTTTCTGTTCCTAGTGTTGTCCACTATTCAACAGGATAAAAACTGGTTATCTTAATTATGTTTCAAACTGTTTTATAATATAAGATTTTATTCAATGGTAAAAATAATAACATTATTAAATATATAATTGTCAATATGTAAAAATATTACTATCTATGAAAATTGAATTTTTGTTATAAATAAAAAAGAAAACAAAATTTTCCTTTTCGAATAATAAGATACATATAATATTATTGTGTTATAATTTTAGTAGGTTCGGGTCGATTACATATTTGTCTATGCTATTAATATAACTAAATTAAAGAGTCTTTTAAATTGTTTAAGGATCATCTTTCTCTTTTCCACTTAGCCATACAAGGCTTAAAGATATGTCAATTGTCAAAAGGGGAATGTTATTTCTTGTCGTAGCGTAGTTTCATTTGTTAGGGTAATGATGCTTTTTCAACTTGTCCAATTTGACGTAAAACAACTCAATTTGAGCTAGTTTCGTTGTTTCTTTGAAGAAAGTTTCTAATTTTTAAAAGGGAATACTTCCTATGTGTGACATAAGTTATTGTTGCAATATCTTGCAAGTCCTTCTGACTAACGCTTGCTTTTTGAGAGTTTATTTTTGAAACGGTGCTCGCAGTCAATCTGTATGCAAACTGTTACGCGTTGCCTCGACTATGTCTTATCAAGGATCACCATATTCGGGGCCAGGAGATGAGTACGATTTCGAAGATGACGGGTACGATGACTTATACGAATATAGGGATCCGGAGGACACGCAATCGCACCACCCAGCGGACGATAGCGATGAAGGTTTGTTTTGTTTATGACTATTCTTTAAAGGTCTTTTCTCCTTCGTTGAACTGCAAAACGAGAGCAACCCACGTTGATGTACGATATCTTTAAAATCAATGATAAACTGATGCTTTTCTCATTATTTGATTCCTTAATATTAGATACATATATATTCTACTGAGCTCTAAAACGTGTGAATTTTATTTTTATTTACAGACACAGAAGAAGCCAGTGAAACTGACATACCAAATAATGACGAACCAGTTGAAATTAAAGAACAGTGAGTATATATTACATTGAAATTCTTTAACCTGAAAATGTAACTTAAAAATTCAATAATTACCTGAATAACCCCATCTCAGGATGTACCAGGATAAGCTATTGAACCTCAAGAAGCAGCTACAACAGTTAGAAGACAACATCCATCCAGAATTGCTGAGGCGGGGTAAAACGGCTCGAGCATCAACTGCACGAACGTCTGAGACTTAACAGAATATACAAGTTAGTAACAATATTATATTATTAGTTCTACATCTTGTTAAAATAATTATGGGATCAAATTACATGAAAATCACTTTTTTTATGATCTATGAATATTCAACTCTTTGTAAATAAGTACATATGTAAACATAATTTAATTTTTATTTTACTGTCAAGTTTTCTAACTTAAATCTGGTTTGTATTCATTGTATGAATTTACTTAACTTTTGGTGATAATTGGTTAGCATCTACTAACAATATGAGTTATAATTCTTCTAATGTTACACATTTCTTGACATATTAATGGAGAACATAAACATTATTTATTTTAAATACTTTGACTATTTTACACAACAATATAATATAAGACTTATGTGCAACACAGTACAATATTTGTTTAATTTGGGGATGAAAACTATATGGTCAGTTTCAAGCATACTAGGTAGTTTCTAACTCAATTATATCCAGTTGTTATATAGATAAGATGTCATTTTTATCTATTATGCAATGTGTTTCCTTAATACATTATGTTTCAACAGAGACCACATGTATGATGTAGTCGAGAGGGAATACATAGCAGAGAAGAAGGCAGCGGCTAAAGAGTTTGATGAGAAAAAGATCGAGTTGAAAGAAAACCTATTACATGACTTTGAAGAGAAGAGGAAGTTGATAGAAGGAGAACGGAACAGCATGGAACTTAATGGAGATTCTATTGAGGTCGGCTTATCTTAATATATTGAAATATTTCTTAATTCTTAAATTGTTGGATATCAAATCATTAGCACTATATTAGATTTAAATTAATAATTCTATTATATCAATAAAATTAAAGTAATATTTTAAAACTACATTCTGAACTTTCAGTTTCCTTCCAGCAACTGTGATAGATCAACTGTATCAAAGATGTATTTTATGAATAGAATTATTCATATATATTGTATATCCAGGTTAAACCTCCGATGAAACGTATTCTTCGCCGTCGAGCCAACGAGCCGGCCCCGGCGCCCGAGAAGCGTCGTAAGCCTCTAGCTACCACACTGACCTTCCAACTGGACGAACGAGACATTGACGCGGACCTGCGAGCCATAGCTCGGACTTCGCCCCCCAGACACACGCAGCCGAGAAAACATCTCAACTCAAATAACTGTATGTATTAATACTGATATTTAAGACTTTCCCAAGATCTCATCTTGTCTGTCAGTGAGCACGGTTGCTGCAAAGTAACCGAAATCTCAGGAGTATATAGGTTTCAATGTAGTAATCTGCATATATTAGTTGAATTTGTATGTATAAATTACTATTAATGGAAAGTACAAGAATAGGATGCTTGTTTATTAGTCATTATTCTTTCATTATGATTTATTTTTTTAAACAACACCCCATACAAATACATTATCACTGGCTTTTTAAATGCATAAAACTGTAGCAGACAAAACAATCTTTTTACTTATTATTTCATTCCCTATATGGAAATTCTGTATCATAGAAAATATGTTATGTTATAATATTTTACACTACTCAGCTCAGAAGTAGTCATTCTTGGAACTGTAGTCAAATATCACCCGCTATGCTTTTTTCAAGTTATGACAATTATAAAGATGTTTCTGAGGATGTGTTTCTTTGAAGGCGAGTCCCCAGTGCGAGAGGGCGGAGAGTGTGACACTCGTGTAGAAGACGGTAAGCTGGTGTACGAACGGAGGTGGTACCACCGCGGACAGAGCGTGTACGTAGAGGGACGGGACATGCCGCGCTTCCCCGCGTACATACACGCTATCACTGACGACGCGGTGAGATTCTATTTAATATTTAATACAAATTTCTTTGAATATTCAATATTTATGTATGTTACAGTATGTGTTGTCCTAAGCTTATAAAGAAGCCACCTGTAGATCATGTTTTCTTTTTTATTTCAAACGCTAAATGTGTGATTTGTTTTGGTAATCTCATTTTGAACTATGATTTGATCTTAATTTCTCACTTTTAGAGGTAATTTTATAAATATCACTTATTTTTCCTATTAATTATAATTTCATATTCATATTAAATGGTTTCAGATATGGGTTAAGAAGCCTAATTTAGAGCGAGTCAGGATATATGTATCACAACTGGCGCGAGGCAAGGTCACTCTGAAGAGAAGGGCGTCGTAATACAGAATACACAGTATAAAATAGATGTAGAAATATGCATTTTTTATTATTAAAAAGTGCCAAGATTGTTATAATAGATATATGTGGAGGACAGAGGCTTTATAAATATTATATGTATATATATATATGTAATATTGATATATGTGTGTGTAAAACAGAATATTATTCACTTGTCCCCTACATGACTCTGTATATAACAATATATCACAAAATATCCTACAACCGGGATGATTAAATATTAATGTGTTCTACAGTCTGTTCTAAGACACTACGGGGTGATTCTGATACATGTGGCAGATTATACTCATAGGAACTTAAATACATTTGGTTTAAACAATGAAATATTGAAATATTTATATTATAACTACATACCGCGTCTTTACACTGCACAATAATAAACTGAGCTGTTTCTTGAAAGTTAAAATGATATACTAGCTGTATACAAAATGAAATTCTATATGATTTAATGCAATAATTACAAGATATGTAACAAATATATTATATATAAAGAAATTATTTACTTTATATTGTCTTCCGAAGTAAATGTCTGTATATATCAGTTTATTACAGATTTAATATTTGATAATTGGATTTAAACATTGCTGTATTTGTAAACAGAGCTATAGAATTTTTTTATTTTTAATTATTAAACTAACTACTTCATATGTTGCCGTATTAAAAAATTCAACTGTCAATCATACTGAGATGTATAATTAATTCCTTTACATATTGTAAAATGTTTAAAAAGAAAGCTTGTAACATATATTTTAACTATTTATCTGGATACCTCCCACGTAAGTTGTATACCAGAAAAATGCTATTTTGCTTTTCTTCTGAAAAATATTCTACTATGGATTATCATATCCTTTCAAAGTAAAAAACAACACTATTTTTAAAGGATTTGCCAGTCGCATACCTAATGTTGTAATTTTCAAATTTTGCAGATTTTGGTTTAATTTGAATCTTTGAAACACTACTGTAAATTTACAGTTTTGGAGTTACAACAAATTATGTGGGAGGTATCAATCTATATGATGTCATTGTATCTCTACCCCGCCATGTATTTTGATGTACATATTGTAAATACTGTAATATAATAATCAAATGTATGTAAGTGGAGTGGTTTTGGAGCGCGTCTTTACATTTGATTTACTTTATTCCGTCATTATGTATGAATTGTGAACTGTAAATAATATGATATGATTGTTTTACAATCGTAAAGGATATTTGAAAAAGTGATCTTTTAATTTATATGTGTTATTATAATAATGACTTTTATTACCTGCACATGTACAAAGTAAAATTTTAATCTGCAAATTGAATTCAAAAAGAAGCTTTTATTGGAAAAAGCTCAAAATTATTTCAGTTTTCAGATAAACTTGACAAATCTGTATACATATGACATATGTATGAAATTAAATTCATATGTAAATGAATTAAAACATATATATGAATAGTTCTTATTATTAAATAACAAATATTGACTGTTAATAGAACCATGCTCTCTCTGGATTGGACTAAGAAAATATACTAAAGGTAACGGTATGTTACTTATTCTTATATTTTAAGTTTTTCAATAGATTATTCTATTTGATATTTGATAAATATTTAGTCCACATTTGGCACAAATGAAAACCCTTATAACAAAAAAAGGAACACAATCTATACATTTTTTGAAATAATGTGATCTTACTAGGTATATTAATGAGGTATGCGAAATTAACTCTGTCTGTCTGTCTGTCTGTTACGCTTTCACGCCTAAACCACTGAACTTATTTTAATGAAATTTGGTATAGAAAGAGTTGACCTTGAGAAAGAACATAGGATAGTTTTTATCCCAGTCTTTTGAAAGGTTTTTTTAAACGCGATATAACCGAACTCCACGCGGGCGAAGCTGCGAGCGGAGAGCTAGTTATATCTAAATAAAAATCTATCTTATTACAATAAAAAATAAATGTCACAAAATATCGTTGTACTAAATTATTATTTAAAACAATAAAATTTTTTAGGTATTCTAATCAGAAGATGATAAAAATTTAATGACACAATTATAACAAAATTAATTTTGAATAATTGTTTTAGATATAAGTAAACAGATCAGAAATGATGGGAGGTCAATCGAGATTTCGTTCGCTTAATAGGTCTTTAAGACAAAACCTTTTTTTAAATAAAATAAAATCAAAAAACAAATCGGTATAAAGGTAAACTATATTAAGAGTAATATTATTTTTATCAAGCAGGGATGGAAAAATACTATTTTGTTTAATAATAATATTGCTATCTAATACATATAATGGGATAACTCGAAAGTTCATATTAAAAAAAATGACAGTCATTTTTTTTGGGGATAAATATTTTTAAATTTATTCTTTAGATAATTGATAAATATTTGCAAAAAGTTAAGTTGACAGTTTTTAAAAACACATACCAGAGACAGTACTTCATCAAACCGCTGTGATGTTGAGGTAAATTAGCAATTTATTTAAACGACATCTCTGTCATAAATAATCATGTTGACATTTTAATATATAAAGTAAACATGGCGCCACTTAAGAGCATTTTAGTTAAATAGGCAAAAACTGACAACTGGTTTGATCATGATACAAGTAACGTGTTTTTATCATTCAAATTGGTTCGAATTGTCTGGAATGTGTTCGTAAAAAGAAAGAACTAGTGTACCAGCTTTATGTAGTCAAGGTCAACGGTAATAAAATATTTTTGAAAACCATCACACACACAAAAGCTACATTTATCCTTTGCAATGTTATCTTAGATTTAGTTTTTGTTTTATTATTATTCTTAAAACTCGATATTAAAAAGTTCCGACTCGAGGATGCACCGGATGTTTATTTTAGTTTAGTCATGCATTAAAATATAAAAGCCATTTAAATAAAACGAACATGGTTGTGGGAAACCTGATTGGATTTAGGTAAAAGGATTACAGAAGGTAAGAACTTCGGCCATGGTACTCAACACTCTATAATTGCTATTTTAATATATCTAGCTATGCCAATGTTGGCTGTACGTTATAGGATCTACGTATTTATAAAATATACTAATTGTTAACTAAAAAAATATCAACAATAATTTTAAAAACAAATTATCTGCTTGTCTGCAGATTCGTAAATCATCTAAAAAGAAATAATGGTAATGGATACTAAATAATCTCAATTGTTTATTTTAAAACAACCCTGATCCAATTAGTTTCAAATATATGGAAATAAAAACAAATTTAAGGCAGCCTTATATTTGGAGGGACGGGATTCAAAGCGATCTTTTTTGATCCCGAACTTGATTAAAACCATAATGCGTTTTTGCTTTCAATTTAATACCTACTGATGTTTAGAGCAAAAAAATATATATTTGGAGCCCGGTTGAAGCCTTCACTTTTATATACATCTGTATTGTGTAGTATAAATTTTACTACTAACTACTAATTGTATTTTATAGCTGGCTATAATGGTGAAAGAAGTATTTGTAAGACATGTGACAATTAAAATGTTTAAGATCACGTTAATTGCAATGGGTTTAAGTAATAATATAAAGTTATATTAGCCTGTTTCGATTTATTTTTCTAATAGTTCTGTTGATAAACTTTGTTGTAAACGAAAGAAGAGTAATGATTAATTTTATAAGAAACACATTTTTCAATGTCCCATTACATCATGAAGGTAATATATGTGTCTCAATTAACATAATATTCGGTATTGAATCAGAATAAGTTACCTTGACAATTATGTCTTCAATAGAAGTGGACGCCCACACGCAGGCGAGGATACATTTTTTAAATTATTTAATCGTGAAACAATAGGTTTTGATTATAGACCAAAGATTTTAGAAAAATGACGAACTCAAACGTCATTTAATGTTTATATTAACGACATTTTGGTTTTGGAAATGTGAAACAGCTTGTAAATATTGTACTCCTAGCATTTAATTAAAGATTGCAGATTATGAGATCCCTCGCTTGTTAATGTTGTGAAAATTATATGTTTATTTTTAAAAGGAATTTCACTTAAAACTAAGGTGAATATTTGAGTAAAAATAGTTCATATTTATTAGTAAGCTGTCCTAATATTTATTATGTACTGGCACTTTAAATTATATTCGTACTTTTTGGTTCAAATATAAACAGTTTTTAAAATAAAAAAGTACCTAATATTTACAATGATAAATCTGTACAAGCGAACCTTTTTAGTAATTTGATACGTTTTTGAGTTTTGTTGAAACATAATGTTATATTTATTTTAAGTTAAGTCATCAACAATGACAGTACACAATAAGATTCCTAATTTAGTTGGTGACGAAGTTTTCTGGAAAATTTGATGAGCTCTGTACAGACAACTATAAAATATTTTTTTAACTTTATAAGCGAAGTAGGGTACACTCTGAGTTGCTGTTAACTTTTGAATTTCTTCTATACAATAGTCGTTAATTCGTTTATTGTAAGTAGGATGAATCTGTGCTACGTTTGCATAACAAACAGACACCTAGTTCAAGACTCAAGCGATGGAGCCGTCAAGACAATTAGCGGACAAACATGTCAATGTTGAGTGAGTGTAGCGCCGCCGAATCTAGCCAAAGGCGAGTACAGTTACTTATGGACAAACTTAATTTATAAAGTCGATGTCCTGCCAGTTTGTTAGCCAGTCTCGGATGTTCCGCGAGCCAGTGTCGTTCAAACAGTCATCGAACCGGCCGCTCCCAAAATTAATAAATACTCCCGAATAATATCAAACAGCCGGCCATTACTATTCGAGCCGCGTCAACCGTCCTAGGCCGCCAGCGCACGCCACTGACACATTTTTGCGTTTTCGCGCGCCTATTGAATTTAGAACAGTTTTTGTTTTTCTTTCGATACGGTGCTTTACATACATCATATACACGTGATTTTGGAAGTGACACTCTGAAGAATATTTAGGATATTTAAGGTGAGTCTCATTTTTTTGATTTTCACGTGAATAGAAGTGGTACACAATTAAATTTATTTTTGATATAGA